GGCAGATGATTATGGTCTAGTTCCAATTCTTTTACATGTTGCGATTTTGCGGGGCTTTAGAAGTGGTGATCTGTTGCATTATCTTCGTGATGTTGAGTTGATGATCCCTGATAATCAGATAAAGCTACTGCTTTTCGAGACTGTTAGATATAATATATAATTTAGGGTTTACTGTTCATTACTGTTTATTCTTTCCCTATATAAAGGAACTTGGCCTTGTAGTTCAATTAATTCAAGCAAATAATATACACAAAATTCTCTCATCTCAACTTAGTATCAGAGCTCCATTGTTACCTGAAGAGCACCCATCGAGCCTGCCACACTGTGGCAACCACACTGGCTATGCCGCCTCGGTTCTCCAACAAGACCAAAGCGACATCATTGCTCGGCATACGTCCGCTGCTCATTTCGGAAAACAAAGACCACTAGCAGACTCGCCGCCCTCAGATGACCTGCGTCCTAAAATTTCATCGCCAACAGCCACTGCACGCACCGCCACGCGCTACCGCGCCTCGGACCCAGGTAGCCCATCGCTGTTCACCACTGTTTAGTGGCGTTTTGGACATCCTCCACCACGTTTTTCCAGAAACCAACACCAACCCATGACTCGCCGCCCTTAGTAGAGTCAGCTAGTCAAGTTTCGCCGCTTTTCTCCGCTGGACGAGCCCTCACGCGTTGCTCCAAGGACTGCGCATGAGATCCATGCGCCTCCCCCGGCTGGCACGTGCCTGACACGCGCCTGGCACACGCCCCCAACTGACGTCACCTGCCACGTCATCCGATGACGTCATTTGCCACGTCCGCTGCCCCACATCATCCGTTAACCGATCGTTGACCTACGTTGATCGTCATTGATCGACCGTTGACCGGCATAGACCAGTTAAGACCATACCGGTTCCTTTGATTTCCTGGCCGTTTCAACCATTTCCTGACCGGTTTTCAGTGTTTTCTGACCGGTCCTTGAGGTATTTTGCCGTCCTGAGTTAGTTTTTGCCATTATTTTTCTCATATCTACTCTCGGTATACTAGATTCTGCTGATTCCATAGTAGTAAAGTGCATATCATGTATAGAATGGAAATCTCAATGCCAATTCAGACTATTTTGAATGGTTCTAATTATATTTTATGGTCTCAAGAAATATCAAATTTCTTAAAAGGACGCAGACTTTGGCGTTATGTCACTAGATAAATTAGGGTACCTACTAGAATTGCTGAAGAAACTGATGATAAATTTGTGGATTGTTTGGATGAATGTGATAGCATAAATCATCAGATTCTCACATGGTTTCGAAACACTTCGATCCCATCTATCCAACTCCAGTTTGGCCTTTTTTATACAGCAAAGGAAGCTTGGGATCTTCTTGATTGTCGTTATTCTAGTTCAGATGTTACCCATCTGTATCGGTTGTTGGGGACTTTATATCACATGTGCCAGGAGCCAGGTCAATATATTAATGATTTTCTATCATCTATTCATGCTATTTGGGATCAGTTGACCTTGTGTGAATCACGCTTGGAAGGAGATAGTAATATTCGCAAAGTTGCTGAACTTCGTGATCGTATTCGTGTCATGCAATTTTTGATGGCTCTAAATGATGAGTTTGAACCTGTGAGAGCCTCCATTCTACATAGAGATCATTTTCCCTCTATTGAGACAGTTATATCATATTTACTGAATGAGGAGACTCGGCTGGCTACCTTAAAAACGCAATGTCCTACTCTGCCCATATCCACACCTACAGATGTAGTACTTGCCACTTCGAGTTCTTCTCATCATTTAGAGCCATCAAAAATTGCATCACACGAATACAATAACAATATTTAGTAACTTTGCGAATATTACTATCCCCTTCCAAGCGTGGTTCACACAAGGTCAACTGATCCCAAATAGCATGCATAGATCATAGAAAATTATTAATAGACTGACCTGGCTCCTGGCGCATGCGATATAAAGTTCCTAACAACCGATACTGATGGGCAACATCTAAACTAAAATAACGACAATCAAGAAGATCCCAAGCTTCCCTTGTTGTATTAAAAAGGCCAAATTAGAGTTGGATAGATGGGATCGAAGTGTTTCGAAACTATGTGAAAATCTGATGATTTATGCTATCTCATTCACTCTGATATATGGAGACCATCTCCCACTCCCACCATGGGTGGCTTTTGCTATTTTGTCATTTTTGTAGATGACCATTCTCGGTATACCTGGCTTTAATCTTATGAAAAATTGTTCTGAACTTTCTCGTATTTATCGCGATTTTGTTGCTATGGTTAAAACCCAATTTTCACGGGATATTAAGATTTTTCGTACTGGTAATGCTATGGAATATAGAGATACAGAATTTCTTCGAATTCTTTCTCAAAATGGTACTATCATTCATCACTCTTGCCATGGCACCTCTCAACAAAATGGTAGAGCTGAATGTAAGTATAGGCATATCTTAGATGTTGTGCGTACTCTGCTTATCTCTGCCTCTTGTCTTGAACGGTTTTGGGGGCAAGCTTGTCACACTGCTGTTTACACTATAAATCGTACTCCATCACCTATTATAGGTCACATCTCTCCTTATGAGTGTTTGTATAGTAGTGTTCCAAATTACACTCTTCTACGTGTCTTTGGTAGTGCCTGTTTTGTGCACCTTCATCCACATGAACGCACGAAATTAGAACCCCGTGCCCATGTATGCTGCTTCCTTGGATATGGCATTGAGCACAAAGGGCATAGATATTGGGATCCCACTTCCAACCGTCTTCGTGTGTCACGTTATGTCACTTTTTGGAAACACAAGATGTTCTCTTCTATTCATCCCTTCGACCCCTCTGCTCATGTTCGTTTCTTTACCAATCATTCCGTGGACTTATTTCCAGAAGATACCACACTTTCGTCCACATCTGACTTTTCCATTCCAGACATATCTTTCCCTCATCTAGAAGTAGGGCTCTCTGGTGACCCCACTTTGGCCACTTTTGACGTGTCTGCACCTTCCGCGGATTCTCCACCACCGATCATTCCTTCCTCCTCTAATCGTTGCCCCACCAGAGTAAGTCAACCTTTTGTTCAGCTTCAAGATTACCATTATTATTCTACGATAGCTTCCCTTCATGAACCTCGCACATATAGAGAAGTTGGTACTAACGCTCTTTGTCAGAAGGCAATGACAGATGAGTTACAAGCTTTAGACAAATCTCATACTTGGGATTTAGTTGCTCTACCTCCTGGTAAGTCCACTGTCGATTGTAAATGGGTGTATAAGATTAAGACAAAAGCAAATGGTACTGTGGACCGCGATAAAGCTTGCCTCGTTGCGAAAGGCTTCACTCAGGAATATGGCATTGACTATGAAGAGACTTTGGCCCCTATTGCACGTTTTGCCTTTGTACGTAGTCTCCTTGCTGTCGCCGCTGTTAAGCATTGGCCTACGTTTCATATGGATGTAAAAAATGCATTCCTAAATGGCGATCTCACCGAGGAAGTTTATATGGTACCCCTCCTGGCTACACTCATTCTTCCCACCAAGTGTGTTGATTATGTCGTGCATTATATGGATTGAAACAATATTCTCGTGCATGGTATTCCAAGTTTAGCTCCATCATGGCATCTCTTGGCTTTAAATCTAGTCCCTACGATAACGCTCTTTTTGTTCGACATACTTCTCATGAGTCCATTTTGTTGCTCCTATATGTCGACGATATGGTTATTACTGGAGATGATCGTCCCGAAATTTCAAAACTCAAGCATTATCTTAGTCAACAGTTCGAGATGAAGGATCTTGGACAACTTAGTTATTTTTTAGGCTTGGAGGTTACCTCAGACACATCCGGTTATTATCTTTTGCATGCCAAATATGCCACTCATCTTCTTTCTCGAGCAGGACTCACGGACACCAAGGTTGTTATGACCCCTCTTGAGATCAATTCCAAATTTGATGCTGGTGATGGGACTCCTCTCTAAAACCCTACCCTCTATTGACAGCTAGTTGACAGTCTTATATATCTCACTGTTACTTGCCCTGATATCGCTTATGCTGCTTATTCTGTTCACATTGTTAGCCAGTACATGACAATGCCTTGTACAACTCACTTTGCTGCAATTCTTCGTATTCTTCGCTATGTCAAGGGTACGTTATTTCATGGCCTTCACTTTTCTACTCATTCGACATTGGAGTTGATTGCCTATTCAGATGCTGACTGGGGTGGTAACCCTTAAGATCGTCGCTCCACTACGGGTTACTGTTTTTTCTTAAGCACTTCACTTATCTCCTAGCGTAGCAAGAAACAATCCATTGTTGCTCGTTCTAGTACAGAAGCTGAATATCGAGCTCTTGCTGATACCACATCGGAGTTATTATGGTTGCGATGGCTACTGGAAGATATGAGAGTCCGTCATCATAGCGGGACAGTCCTTCATTGCGACAATCGCAGTGCTATCCAAATTGCACATAATGATGTTTTCCATAAATGCACCAAACACATTAAGATAGATTGTCACTTCATCTGCTATCATGTTCTTCGTGGCACTCTACGACTTATTTTTACTTCATCAACTCATCAGACTGTCGATATCTTCACCAAGACACATCCACCTGGGCGCTTCCTAGATCTTCTCTCCAAACTCCAGTTGACTTATTTCAACTCACCTTGAGTTTGCGAGGATGTTAGATATAATATATAATTTAGGGTTTACTGTTCATTAATGTTCATTCTTTCCCTATATAAAGGGACTTGGCCTTGTAGTTCAATTAATTCAAGCAAGTAATATACACAAAATTCTCTCATCTCAACTGAGACAGTTATTGGTTCGAATGGAGTTTGTCTCTAGTCTTGTTATTTTCCGATTGATGTGAAAACCAATTCTCTTTCTTTCCGAGGTCAGAGTTTGGTCGATGTATGAACTGTCATGGTTCTTTCCATTTAACGTATGCTCACTTCAGATCATTGCTATTGAAAATCTAAAGCAGGTGTCCTTCCTATAAACAATCCCTCCCTTGTGTCCTCATCATTCAGTCTCGCGCTGCATCTTTGATTGTGCATGCAATGCCTCTCTTGTGTTGCTCTTTGCTTGACAGCCTCTGCCGAGTACTCTTCAGGGGAGATACTGTTCCTCAATCGCGCTCTTGATCCTTCCCCTTTTCTTTCTGTTTGTCATATTTTGTGTGTTTTTTAGTTGAGTGAAATTGAATTAGCAGACCATATTCCCGCAGGGGATAAAATTTGGTTTCGAGGTTTTCACACATTTGGTGAGCATGGAGTTCAGTCTTCTTTTTGTAAGCTTTCTATTTGCTGCAACTGGGAAAAACCTTCCCATTTACCCTTTTGATTCTTATCATATTTGATAGGATGACCAACTTCTACGTCATTTCTATTCTATTTTATTGGTGACGAACATCATACTTGCTCAGGTGGAAAAGTCGAGCAGGAAGTTTCTACTTTTCCTTCTGATTTCGTATGATATTGCAATATTTGGATGGCGATATTAATTCGTATACATAACTTATTTTTCAGATCAAGCATAGCTGTTGGATCTATTTATATATAACATCCCCATTTGCGACATGAAACTTTGTCGGAGATGATTTGACTGCCAGATATCCTAACTTATGGTTCTAAATAGATCTTTTTCTCAACCGCTATACAAGGGGATTCGTGTTCATTTTTCTTCTAATTAAAATTATCAAACTGTCTCGTTTGATTTATTATTGCCTTTGAAGGCACGGATTTTGCAGCATCTGGGTGGTCTATTGTGAGAACCGAATTGGTTTAGGTCCTGATTGAATCTGTATGAATGTCATGAGGTTCATCAACATTATTCAGGTTCAAGTTTCCCGCTGATTATTTTAATTAATAAAATTGCTCGCATGAAATGTATGGAGTTATTCAGCCGTTGTGACAGGTGCTTGGTTCAGTTTGGAGGGATCTCTTCAGCTAAGTGTGTCACGTGAAGATGGTATAGGATTCAGTGATTAAAGAATTCAAGTTTGTCAAGTGAGTGAAAGCAGAGGTTACGATCTATTGCGATCATGTTTGATGGAGTTGCTGAATCGTCTTCTTTTTTAGTTGGAGCCATGAGATGACATTTGGATCCTTCTAATATGGATTGTCTATAGCTGCATTAGAACCCTGGATATCTTTAGTTCCAAGGATTAAAGGAGATGCGCGGAATGTCTACTTCTCCTCTTGTAGGTTGGCGTCTTCTTGCTGGAAATCATGTTGCGTTTCTCATCTTTGTCTGCAAAATTCACTGGATACAATTGATTTGTGTGCCCATGGGTACTTCTCCTCTTGTAGGTTGGAGTCTTCTTGCTGGAAATCATGTTTCGTTTCTCATCTCTGTCTGCAAAATTCACTGGATAAACCCATAATTGATTTGTGTGCCCAAAGCTATGGGTGCTTTTTAATTGTGTTTCCAAGTCTAGTTGTTGCTTACTTGGTCATTAGGTGACACACATTGTTGGGAGTTTGACCTTATGGGACTAGAGACCGGACCTGACTATGTTTGTTCCTTATCTTTTATCAGATGGTTCTATGGGATATTGATTGCAGATATTCACTAATTTTATGGCAGACCAAATCCATGTCTACTTTCAGTTTGTTTGTTTCTCTGTTATCACTGTCTCAGGGAGCTCTCTCCTCCTAGATGCTCTTATTTAATCTTCACCTGATCTGAATTTGCCTCACAAATGATTTTCATCTTGGCCACAATATCTGCAAGAATCATGATTGCGGGGACTTTGCATGATGTAGATGATCTCTAGGTCTTTTTTTGCCATGGAAAGAAATCAAGGACGATCCTTGTGCTCCCACTATGAGAAGGAAATCTTCATATAGACAGATCTATTTCCTTTTCGCCAGATTAAATTGAATTGCTTTTTTTACCTTGGAATATCTGCCTTGTAATGACGAGGAATATCTAATTGTCGCATAGGAATGGGTATTTTTCTATTTACCAAGTCTTTTTATCCGATCCACAAATGCTGTGGAATTTCCGAAGGTGATGAGCATCATTCTGAATTTCATTATTCGGTGAATTCACTTGATTCGAGGACTAATGATCTAGGCACTTATCGGTTTTGATGATTGATCATAGAGACCTTCTAGGACTAATGATATAGTTCTTCAGTTTATCATATCTTTGTGGAGTGACGTTATCTTTTACGGGTAGAAAGTTTAGCTGTGTTCTTTGTGGACTTTCTATTTCTTATCATATTTACAGACAACATAAAAATATGGCCTAGGACAGCTAGAAAATGGGAGCGAATTTCCTAACAATAAAAAGAAAATAAAATAATTTCTTATCCGGATATTTTCTCCTAATTCTTCGACACCCACCCCCTCAAGTATTCAGCTCTCGCATCAATCTTCTCCTAGATATCTGTCGATCTACTTAGTTCTGTTATGTTGCACTGGATTATGTACATCATATGCATTTTTCACTGGTACTCGTAGTTCTTCTGGTACTCGCGTTATAGCCACAACATCTCGTAGATAACATGCGATATTCCGCTTTTGCACTGCTTCATGCCATCACATTTTTACTCTTACTTCGCCAAGTAACCAAGTTCCCAAGTGTGCTCTTTAAGATAATCTTTAGAATCCTGTACACGGTCCCAAGATACATAGAGAGTGCATAAATTGGCTTACCATACTCATAGAGAAGGTATCTAGCCGAGTACACGACAAATAGATTAGTTTCATGAACCCTTTTTCGACCGAGCTCCTCCATTCCAAGGAAATGTAATTCCGAAATCCTTGATCTCAAACTCAAAAGCAAGACATTCTTTCAACTTGTTCATCTCGATAATATCATTCCTAGTGAGAATGATATCATCCACAAACACTATCAGAATTACAAATTCCCATCACAGGGTTGCTTTACAAACATGGTCGGCTTGTCCTTGAACATACCTTTGTTTCTTCACAGGCCGAGTGAACTTCTCAAATGAGTCCATCGATGACTGGTTTAGTCCATATAGTGACTTCTTCAATCTACATACCTTTGATCCAAACCTTCTATCAAAACCCAGGGGAAAATCCATGTATACTTCTTTGTCCAAATCTCCATTCAGAAATGCATTCTTCACATCTAGTTGATGCAGAGGCCGATCAAGATGCAAGTGACAGGAGCACTCTTGTGTTTAGTTTTAGTTTTGCAACTAGAGCGAAGGTCTCAAAGTAGTCGATCCCATAGGTCTGGGTAAAAACCTTTGGCAACCAACCGAGCTTTATACCTTTTAAGGGATCCGTCGTATCTACCAACTGTGGTCTTTCCTCCATTCTATGCATTCTTCACATCTAGTAACTATAGAGGCTAGTCAAGATTGGCTGCAAGTGACGGACTCTTACAGTGTTTAGTTTTGCAACAGGAGTGAAGGTCAGAGTAATCGATCCCATAGGTGAAACATTTGGCAACCAACCAAGCTTTCTAGGGATCCGTCATATCTATGCTTAGTTGTGAATACCCACTTGTCCAATTATTGTCTTTTCCCTTGGATCCACCATATTCCACGTTCCATTTTTTTGCCAGAGGTTTCATCTTATCAAAAATCACTTCCTGCACAATTTTTGGAATTCTCCACATAAGTCAAGGTTATGTGTTTGGCATGGGATGTTTGATACAAGAACTAACTCCTTTTTGAATAGTATGTTAAGTTCAACAGTGGACTCATCTTTTTTACTAAGATCAGGTTGGACAAATTGAGTTGATGACTGTATGGAGTTTTTGTCCTGACCTAGCTCGGAGTCTTGGCACCTTAAGGGAGTAGGAGAATTTCTTTGAGTTTTGTTTCTTCTCATGTAGACTTGAGAATATGATGGAAATTCTGTATGTTTTGTACTAGGTTCGCACCTGTTATCACAAGTAGGATGAGATGTAAATATAGGTGGACCCAAATGTTCATTATTAAAAAAAGAATTGGTTCATAATCAGGTATAAGGATTGCGGGAACATAATTTATAGGAAGAGGATTTTCAGGTTTTGCAAAACGAAAAGAGATGGTGTTTTGTGAATTTGCACTTTCTTTCCCCCCTAAAGATGAGCTCCAAAAAGGTGTTAATTAAAAAAAATGACATTCATAGTGACAAATATTTCTTTTAGAAATCGTATCGGCATTTTAGGTGCATAGCAAAAAAGCACACATTGTTTTACTCTACGACCAAGTTTCCCTTGATTTCCCTTGATTTCTGTCATGGATGTGGGAGGAGACACAATGAAAATAGTTTTAAGGGTAAGGTTGAAGCAAATTTAGAGGCTGGTATTTGAAACTTTAATAAAACTCTGCAATGCATCCATGTGGGAACTTTAGTTGCGAAGAGCAGAGCTCTAATTACTTCTAAAATGTGTCTTGTTTATTCTTCCTTTCTACCATCTCATTTTGTTGAGGGGGGGGGGGGGGGTGTCAGGGCAAGAACTTTGATGTACAATAATTCTCTTTTCCAAGAAAAGCAGGAGAAGGACATCAGAAGTATCAAAGTTGTGTATGACGTTCACTTTAATGTCAAAAGTAAAAAAGTGTCAAAGTTATGTATGGCGCTTATTTGACGCTTACTTTAATGCCAAAAGTTTTTTTACTTTTGGATCACTTAAGTGCGAATTTTTTTGAAAAACGATCTTTTTAGTTCCAACTCCGATATATTCGAACGAAAATCCAACTTGGCCTTTTTTTGAAAAATTAATTAATTTTTTGTTAATTTCTAGTAAGCATTTAAAGCATAAACGACATTGTCTAGTAGCTTTTCCCCAAATAAGAACCTTAAATCACCAAATTGAAAGAAAATCCCAATTTCAAACCCAAATCGGCCATTGGACCGCCAATGGCCAATTTGTAACCCCAATTTCAAACCCAAATCGGCCATTGGCGGATTTGTTCTCTATTTAGTTTCTGGTGTGGGGTTTGACTCACTCCTACACATGTTTCTTTTGTGCAAGATGGACCGGGTATATAGGACTGTTGTGTCCAGTGTATCAAGGGTACAAAACATGGGGCATGGTGTTGTTGTGCTCATCAAATAGGGAATTCATCATATCTCCTCCAATCGTTGATATAGACCATCCATATAGAAGGATTCGGACATCGCTCATCCATATTCAATAGCTCACCTGAATGCAACTGCGTTAGATGATAACCTCCTGCATTCACCAACTCGAGAACTTGAATTCTTTAACAGCTTAATACATTAGCATCCTCACATGACATCCTTAGTGAGGTCACTCCAAACTGCATCAAGCACCGATCAAAGACTGAATAAATCCATATAGCGTGGAAGCCACCAAACTGATTGATATGATCAGAGGGAGACTTGAACCTTGATGAGGTTGATAAACGTTCACCAACATTTTTCAGAAAATAGACCCGGTGCATGCTTACTCATGTGCCTTCAAAGCAAATGCCAAAGAAAACGAAATTGATCATAAAGCAAGTGCTTAATATCTGAACTAGTATATGTGGATGATATCATCATTACAGGCAGTGATTTAGATGATATTCACAAACTTAAGCAATTTCAACATATAGAATTTAGTACTAAAGATCTAGGATGTATTCGATATTTTCTTGGTATTGAAATAGCCTACTCACATGCCAGTATCACTTTATTGCAGTGGATGTACTTGACATTCTTGGCGAGGTTGGATTTCTTAGAGTAAAGCCAGTTGATATCCTATGGACCCTAGTGTAAGACTTGATGAGAATTATTACATGATCCAGCAAAGTATCGGATATTAGTTGGTAGCTAAACTATCTTACCGTTACAAGGCCTGATATATCTTTTGCTGTTAGTGTAGTAAGCTAGTTCATGAGTTCTCCTCATACTACTCATTGGGATGCTGTACTTCGAATTCTCAAATATTTGAAAGGAGCGCCAGGTAAAGGACTACTGTTAAAGAATCATGGTCATCTCAACACTATAGGCTTCTCTAATACCGATTGGGCTGGATGTCCTATGGATAGGAGATCTACTTCAGGCTATTATGTGTTTCTTGGAGGTAATTTAGTTGCGTGGAAGAGCAAGAAGCAACATGTAGTTTCCCAATCAAGCGT